AAAAGGAAGGAAACAGAGAAGGAAGGGAGGGAGGGAGGAAGTGAACCAGTTTGCCGGGAAGCTGGTCCAGGTGAGAGGAAGGAAGGAAGGAAGGAAGGAAGGAAGGAAGGAGAGAGGAAGGAAGAAACCAGAGCAGGGAAGAAGGAAGGAGGGAAGGAAAGGAAAGGGAGGAAAGAGTGAACAAAGTGAACCAGTTTGCCGGGAAGCTGGTCCAGGTGAGAGGAAGGAAGGAAGGAAGGAAGGAAGGAAGGAGCGAGCGAAGGAAGAAAGATAGAGGGACAAAGGAAGGAGGGAAGGAAGGAATTAAGGAGGGAGAGAGGAGGGAGGGAGGGAGAGAGGAAGGAAGGAAGTGATCCAGTTTGCCGGGAAGCTGGTCCAGGTGAGAGGAAGGAAGGAAGGAAGGAAGGAAGGAAGGAAGGAGGGAAGAAAGAAAGAGGGACAAAGGAAGGAGGAAGAAAGGAAGGAGGGAAGGAATTAAGGAGGGAGAGAGGGAGGAAGGAGGGAGGGAGGGAGGAAGGAAGGAAGGAAGGAAGTGAACCAGTTTGCCGGGAAGCTGGTCCAGGTGAGAGGAAGGAAGGAAGGAAGGAAGGAGGGAGGGAAGGAGGAAAGAAAGAGGGACAAAGGAAGGAGGGAAGGAAGGAGTTAAGGAGGGAGAGAGGAAGGAAGGAAGTGAACCAGTTTGCCAGGAAGCTGGTTCAGGTAAGAGGAAGGAAGGAAGGAGGGAGGGAGGAAGGAGGAAGGAAGGAGGGAAGGAAGGAAGGAAGGAAGGAAGGAGGAAGGGAAGAAAGAAAGAGGGACAAGAAAGAGGGACAAAGGAAGGAGGGAGAGAGGAAGGAAGGAACCAGAGCAGGGAAGAAGAAGGAGGGAAGGAAAGGGAGGAAAGAGTGAACGAAGTGAACCAGTTTGCCGGGAAACTGGTCCAGGTGAGAGGAAGGAAGGAAGGAAGGAAGGAGGGAGGGAGGGAGGGAAGAAAGAAAGAGGGGCAAAGGAAGGAGGAAGAAAGGAAGGAGGGAAGGAAGGAATTAAGGAGGGCGGGAAGGAAGGGAGGAGGGAGGGAAGGAAGGAAGGAGGGAAGAAAGAAAGAGGGACAAAGGAAGGAGGGAAGGAAGGAATTAAGGAAGGAGAGAGGAAGGAAGTGAACCAGTTTGCCGGGAGCTGGTCCAGGTAAGAGGAAGGAAGGAAGGAGAGAGGAAAGAAGCAGGAAAGGAGGGAGGGAAGGAAGGAGGGAGGGAAGGAAGGAAGAAAGGAGGAAGGAAGGAAGGAAGGAAGGAAGGAAGGAAACAGGAGCAGGGAAGGAAGGAAGGTAAAAAAGAAAGAAAGATTGAGGAAAGAAAGAAGGAAGGAGGAGGAAAAAGGAAGGAAACAGAGAAGGGAGGGAGGGAGGAAGGAAGTGAACCTGTTTGCCGGGAAGCTGGTCCAGGTGAGAGGAAGGAGGGAAGGAAGGAAGGAAGGAGGGAGGAAGGGAAGAAAGAAAGGGACAAGAAAGAGGGACAAAGGAAGGAGGGAGAGAGGAAGGAAGGAACCAGAGCAGGGAAGAAGAAGGAAGGGAGGAAAGAGTGAACGAAGTGAACCAGTTTGCCGGGAAGCTGGTCCAGGTGAGAGGAAGGAGGGAAGGAAGGAGGGAAGGAAGCAATTAAGGAGGGAAAGAGGAAGGAAGGAGGGAGGGAGAGAAGAAGGAAGGAAGTGATCCAGTTTGCCGGGAAGCTGGTTCAGGTGAGAGGAAGGAAGGAAGGAAGGAAGGAAGGAAGGAGGGAGGGAGGGAGGGAAGAAAGAAAGAGGGACAAAGGGAGGAGGGAGAAAGGAAGGAGGGAAGGAATTAAGGAGGGAGGAAGGAAGGAAGAAAAGGGAGGGAGGGAGGGAGGGAGGAAGGAAGGAAGGAAGGAAAGGGAGGAAGAAAGGAAGGAAGTGAACCAGTTTGCCGGGAAGCTGGTCCAAGTGAGAGGAAGGAAGGAAGGAAACAGGAGCAGGGAAGGAAGGAAGGTAAAAAAGAAAGAAAGCTTAAGGAAAGAAAGAAGGAAGGGGGAGGAAAAAGGAAGGAAACAGAGAAGGAAGGGAGGAGGGAGGGAGGGAGGGAGGGAGGGAGGAAGGAAGTGAACCAGTTTGCCGGGAAGCTGGTCCAGGTGAGAGGAAGGAAGGAGGGAGGGAGGGAAGAAATAAAGAGGGACAAAGGAAGGAGGGAAGGAAGGAATTAAGGAGGGAGAGAGGAAGGAAGGAGAGAGGGAGGGAGAGAGGAAGGAAGGAAGTGAACCAGTTTGCCGGGAAGCTGGTCCAGGTGAGAGGAAGGAAGGAAGGAAGGAAGGAGGGAGGGAGGGAAGAAAGAAAGAGGGACAAAGGAAGGAGGGAAGGAATTAAGGAGGGAGAGAGGAAGGAAGGAAGAAGGGAGGGAGGGAGGGAGGGAGGGAGAGAGGAAGGAAGGAAGTGATCCAGTTTGCCGGGAAGCTGGTTCAGGTGAGAGGAAGGAAGGAAGGAAGGAGGGAGGGAAGAAAGAAAGAAGGACAAAGGAAGGAGGGAAGGACTTAAGGAGGGAGAGAGGAAGGAAGGAGGGAGGGAGGGAGGAAGGGAGGAAGGAAGGAAGGAAGGAGGGAGGGAAGAAAGAAAGAGGGACAAAGGAAGGAGGGAAGGAAGGAATTAAGGAGGGAGAGAGGAAGGAAGGAGGGAGGGAGGGAGGGAGGAAGGAAGGAAGGAAGGAAGGAAGGAAGGAAGGAGGAAGGAAGGAAAGAAAGGGAGGAAAGAGTGAACGAAGTGAACCAGATTGCAGGGAAGCTGGTCCAGGTGAGAGGAAGGAAGGAAGGAAGGAGGGAGGGAAGAAAGAAAGAAAGAGGGACAAAGGAAGGAGGGAAGGAATTAAGGAGGGAGAGAGGAAGGAAGGAGGGAGGGAGGAAGGAAGGAGGGAGGGAGGGAGGAAGGAAGGAAGGAAGGAAGGAAAGGGAGGAAAAAGTGAACGAAGTGAACCAGTTTGTCGGGAAGCTGGTTCAGGTAAGAGGAAGGAAGGAAGGAAGGAGGGAGGGAGGGAAGAAAGAAAGAGGGACAAAGGAAGGAGGGAAGGAAGGAATTAAGGAGGGAGAGAGGAAGGAAGGAGGGAGGGAGGGAGGGAGAGAGGAAGGAAGGAAGTGATCCAGTTTGCCAGGAAGCTGGTTCTGGTGAGAGGAAGGAAGGAAGGAAGGAGGGAGGGAAGAAAGAGGGACAAAGGAAGGAGGGAAGGAAGGAATTAAGGAGGGAGAGAGGAAGGAAGGAAGTGAACCAGTTTGCCGGGAAACTGGTCCAGGTAAGAGGAAGGAAGGAAGGAAGGAAGGAGGGAGGGAGGGAGGGAAGAAAGAAAGAGGGACAAAGGAAGGAGGGAAGGAAGGAATTAAGGAGGGTGAGAGGAAGGAAGGAGGGAGGGAGGGAGGGAGGAAGAAAAGGGAGGGAGGGAACCTGATCCAGGTAAAAGGAAGGAAGAAGGAAGGAGGGAGAGAGGAAGGAGGGAAAGAGGGAGGGAGGAAAGGAAAGGAGGGAGAAGGAAAGAGAGAGGGAGGAAAGGAAGGAAGGAGAGAAAGGAGGAGGGAAGGAAGGAGGGAAGGAAGGAAGGAAGGAGAGAGGGAGGGAAGGAGGGAAGGAAGGAAGAAAGGAAAGGAGGGAGGGAGGGAAGCAGGAAGGAAGAAGAGAGGGAGGAAGGAAGGAAGGAGGGAGGGAGAAAGGAAGGAAGGAAGGAAGGAGAGGGAAGGAGGAAGGAAGGAGAGAGGGACGAAAGGAGGAAGGAAGGAAGGAAGAAAAGGGAGGGAGGGAGGGAGGGAGGGAAGGAAGGAAGGAAGGAAGGAAGGAAGGAAGGAAGGAAGGAAGGAGTAAAGGAAGGAAGGAGGGAGGGAGAGAGGGAGGAAAGAAGGAGGGAAGGAAGGAAGAAAAGGAAAGGAGGGAGGGAAGCAGGAAGGAAGAAGAGAGGGAGGAAAGGAAGGAAGGAGAGAGGGAGGAGGGAGAAAGGAAGGAAGGAGAGGGGAAGAGTGGAAGGAAGGAGAGAGAGGAGAAAGGGAGGAAGGAAGGAGAGGGAGAAAGGGAGGGAGGAAGGAAGGAAGGAAAGAGGGAGGGAGGGAGGGAAGGAAGTCAACAAAACGAACCCATTTGCCGTCAAACCGACCCCTTAATTCGCATTTATTGGGGCGAAAATAAATGGATTAACGATCGGATTTGAGAGCGGTTCCCATCTCACCCTGTCGCTCCCTTTCTCCAGGAGCAGCACCCGGAAGAGGAAGTGATCCGCTCCCAAACAGGAAGAGGTCAACGCTTCCTGGCAGCGACTGAAGGGATTGGCTCTCCAGAGACAGGGGAAACTTTTTGGGGCGGCCGAAGTCCAGCGCTTCAACAGGTGGCCGGTTTTTCCTTATTTTATTTTATTTTATTTATTTTATTTTATTTTATTTTATTTTTTATTTTATTTTATTTATTTTATTTTATTTTATTTTATTCTATTCTATTCTATTCTATTCTATTCTATTCTAATTTCCTTACATATTATTTTCCTTTTTCATTTCATTTCGTTTCATTTCAATTGATTTCATTTCATTTAAATTACATGAAATGAAATGAAATAAATTGAAATGAATTGAAATGAAATGAAAAAAGGAAAATAATATGTAAGGAAATTAGATTTAAATTACATGAAATGAAATGAAATGAAATAAATTGAAACGAAATGAAATGAATTTAAATGAAATGAAATGAAATGAAAAAAGGAAAATAATATGTAAGGAAATTAGATTTAAATTACATGAAATGAAATGAAATAAATTGAAATGAAATGAAATGAAATAAATTTAAATGAAATGAAATGAAAAAAGGAAAATAATATGTAAGGAAATAATAGAATAATAGAATAGAATTCATTTAATTTCATTTAAATTCATTTCATTTCATTTTGAATTCGATTTCATTTAATTTTGAATTTCATTTTCGTTCCATTTATTTCCTTTTCTCCTATTCCATTTTCTTTCATGTTATTTTTTGCTATTTATATTCTATTTTAATTTTGTTCTATTTCATTGCATATTATTTTCCTTTTTTAATTTTATTTAAATTAAATTCATTTAATTTAATTTAATTTAAATTCATTTAATTCAATTTAATTTAAATTCATTTCATTTCAATTCATTTAATTTAATTTAAATTCATTTAATTTAAATTCATTTCATTTGAATTCAATTTCATTTAAATTTCGAATTTCATTTTATTTTATTTCCTTTTATCCCATTCCATTTTCTTTCATATTATTTTTTTCTATTTCTATTCTATTTTAATTTCATCCTGTTTCATTACATATTATTTTCCTTTTTTAATTTAATTTAAATTCAATTCATTTAATTTAATTTAATTTAATTTAATTTAATTCAATTTAATTTACATTCAATTCATTTAATTTAATTTAAATTCATTTTATTTAAATTCATTTCATTTAAATTTCATTTTATTTCATTTCATTTTGAATTCAATTTCATTTAAATTTTGAATTTCATTTTAATTTATTTCCTTTTATCCCATTCCATTTTCTTTCATATTATTTTTTCTGTTTATATTCTATTTTAATTTTATCCTGTTTCATTACATATTATTTTCATTTTTTAATTTCATTTAAATTTGATTTAATTTTAATTTTGAATTTCATTTTAATTTATTTCCTTTTATCCCATTCCATTTTCTTTCATATTATTTTTTTCTATTTCTATTCTCTTTTAATTTTATCCTGTTTCATTACATATTATTTTCATTTTTTAATTTCATTTAAATTTGATTTAATTTTAATTTTGAATTTCATTTTATTTAATTTCCTTTTATCCCATTCCATTTTCTTTCATATTATTTTTTTCTATTTCTATTCTATTTCAATTTTATCCTATTTCATTACATATTATTTTCCTTTTTTAATTTCATTTAAATTTGATTTAATTTTAATTTTGAATTTCATTTTAATTTATTTCCTTTTATCCCATTCCATTTTCTTTCATATTATTTTTTTCTGTTTATATTCTATTTTAATATCCTATTTCATTACATATTATTTTCCTTTTTAAATTTCAGTTAAATTTGATTTAATTTTAATTTTAATTTTGGATTTCATTTCATTTAAATTTGATTTCATTTTAATTTTGAATTTCATTTCATTTTTAATTCAATTTAATTTTTTAAAAATTATTATTATTATTATTATTCTTATTCTTATTTATTCTATTCTATCCCGTTTCATTTTATCCCGCAGAGACGTCGACGAAACGATCAGCTGGATCAAGGAGAAGGAGCAGCTCATGGCGTCCGACGATTTCGGACGGGATCTAGCCAGCGTCCAGGCTCTCCTGCGCAAACACGAGGGGCTGGAGAGGGATCTGGCCGCCCTGGAGGACAAGGTGGGCGGGGCCGGCGGGCGATTGGACCAATCGGGAACGAGGGCGGGGCTAGGGGGCGGTTGGACCAATCGGGGACGAGGGCGGGGCTAGGGGGCGGTTGGACCAATCGGGAACAAGGGCGGGGCTAGGGAGCGGTTGGACCCATCGGGAACAAGGGCGGGGCTAGGGGCGGTTGGACGAATCGGGGACGAGGGCGGGGTTAGGGGGCGGTTGGACCAATCGAGAACAAGGGCGGGGCTAGGGGCGGTTGGACGAGGGCGGGGTTAGGGGGCGGTTGGACCAATCGGGAACAAGGGGGGGCTAGGAAGGAAGGAAGGAGGGAGGGAAGGAGGCAGAAGGAAGGAAGGAAGGAAAGAGAGCGGGAGGGAGGGAAGGAAGGAAGGAGGGAGGGAGAGAAGAAAGGAGGAAGGGAGGGAAGGAGGAAGGAAGGAAGGAGAGAGGGAGGGAGGAAGGAAGGAAAGAAAAAGGATCAAGGAAGGAAGGAATGAGAGGGAAGGAGGGAGACGGAAGGAAGGAAGGAAAGAGGGAAGGAAGGAAGGAGAGAGGAGAGGAGGGAAGGAAGAAAGAAGGAGAGAGGGAGGGAGGGAAGGAGGCAGAAGGAAGGAAGGAAAGGAGGGAGGGAGAGAAGGAAGGAGGGAAGGAGGAAGGAAGGAGAGAGGGAGGGAGGGAGGGAAGGAGGCAGAAGGAAGGAAGGAAGGAGAGGGAGGGAGGGGGAAGAAAGGTAGAAGGAAGCAAGGAAGGAAGGGAAGAAGGGAGGGAAAGAGGGAGGAAGGAAGGAAGGAAGGAGGGAGGAAGGAAGGAAGGAGAGTGGGAAGGAAGGAAGGAGAGAGGGAGGGAAGGAAGGAAGGAGAGAGGAAGGAAGGAAGGAAGGAGACGGAGGGAAGGAAGGGAAGGAGGAAGGAAGGGGGGGAAAGAAGGGATCTGGCCAGCGTCCAGGCTCTCCTGCGCAAACACGAGGGGCTGGAGAGGGATCTGGCCGCCCTGGAGGACAAGGTGGGCGGGGCCGGCGGGCGATTGGACCAATCGGGAACGAGGGCGGGGCTAGGAAGGAAGGAGGGAGGGAGGGAGGACAAGGTGGGCGGGGCCGGCGGGCGATTGGACCAATCGGGAACGAGGGCGGGGCTAGGAAGGAGGGAGGGAGGACAAGGTGGGCGGGGCCGGCGGGCGATTGGACCAATCAGGAACGAGGGCGGGGCTAGGAAGGAGGGAGGGAGGACAAGGTGGGCGGAGCCGGCGGGCGATTGGACCAATCGGGGATGAGGGCGGGGCTAGGAAGGAGGGAGGGAGGACAAGGTGGGCGGAGCCGGCGGGCGATTGGACCAATCGGGAACGAGGGTGGGGCTAGGAAGGAGGGAGGGAGGGAGGACAAGGTGGGCGGAGCCGGCGGGCGATTGGACCAATCGGGAACGAGGGCGGGGCTAGGAAGGAAGGAGGGAGGGAGGGAGGACAAGGTGGGCGGAGCCGGCGGGCGATTGGAACAATCGGGAACGAGGGCGGGGCTAGGAAGGAGGGAGGGAGGACAAGGTGGGCGGAGCCGGCGGGCGATTGGACCAATCGGGAACGAGGGCGGGGCTAGGGGGCGGTTGGACCAATCGGGGACGAGGGCGGGGCTAGGGGGCGGTTGGACCAATCGGGAACAAGGGCGGGGCTAGGGAGCGGTTGGACCCATCGGGAACAAGGGCGGGGCTAGGGGGCGGTTGGACCAATCGAGAACAAGGGCGGGGCTAGGGGCGGTTGGACGAATTGGGGACGAGGGCGGGGCTAGGGGGCGGTTGGACCAATCGGGGACAAGGGCGGGGCTAGGGGGCGGTTGGACCAATCGGGAACAAGGGGGGGCTAGGAAGGAAGGAAGGAGGGAGGGAAGGAGGCAGAAGGAAGGAAGGAAGGAAAGAGAGCGGGAGGGAGGGAAGGAAGGAAGGAGGGAGGGAGAGAAGAAAGGAGGAAGGGAGGGAAGGAGGAAGGAAGGAAGGAGAGAGGGAGGGAGGAAGGAAGGAAGGAAAGAAAAAGGATCAAGGAAGGAAGGAATGAGAGGGAAGGAGGGAGACGGAAGGAAGGAAGGAAAGAGGGAAGGAAGGAAGGAGAGAGGAGAGGAGGGAAGGAAGAAAGAAGGAGAGAGGGAGGGAGGGAAGGAGGCAGAAGGAAGGAAGGAGAGTGGGAGGGAGGGAGGGAAGGAAGGAAGGAAAGGAGGGAGGGAGAGAAGGAGGGAGGGAGGGAAGGAGGAAAGAAGGAGAGAGGGAGGGAAGGAGGAAGGAAGGAAGGAAAGAAAAAGGATCAAGGAAGGAAGGAATGAGAGGGAAGGAGGGAGATGGAAGGAAGGAAGGGGAGAGGGAAGGAAGGAAGGAGAGAGGAGAGGAGGGAAGGAAGAAAGAAAGGAGAGAGGGAGGGAGGGAAGGAGGCGGAAGGAAGGAGAGTGGGAGGGAGGGAGGGAAGGAAGGAAGGAAGGAAGGAAAGGAGGGAGGGAGAGAAGGAAGGAGGGAGGGAGGGAAGGAGGAAGGAAGGAGAGAGGGAGGGAGGGAGGGAGGAAGGAAGGAAGGAAAGAAAAAGGATCAAGGAAGGAAGGAATGAGAGGGAAGGAGGGAGACGGAAGGAAGGAAGGAGAGAGGGAAGGAAGGAAGAGAGGAGAGGAGGGAAGGAAGTAAGAAGGAGAGAGGGAGGGAGGGAAGGAGGCAGAAGGAAGGAAGGAAGGAAGGAAGGAAGGAGAGTGGGAGGGAGGGAAGGAGGAAGGAAGGAGAGAGGGAAGGAAGGAAGGAAGGAAGGAAGGAAAGGAGGGAGGGAGGAGGAAGGAGGGAGGAGGGAGGGAGGAAGGAAAGAAAAAGGATATATACACACATCCAATATAATATTGTAATTATATATATATATATACACACAGACAATATAATATAATATTGTGTGTGTGTATATATATATATATATATATATATGTGTGTATATATATATATATATATAATATATATATATATATATATAATATATATATATGATTCTATAAAAACGTATGCAAAGAACATTTTCCTTTTATTATTCCCTAACATGAAATGTTGATATTTGCGAGAACCGGCTTCCGTCGCCTCCGTCTCTCCCCTTTGAATCCCTCTTCGTATTTCCGTCATATTCATTAATTAATCACTTAATTAATCCGCCTCCAGGTCAAGGCATTGGGCGCTGAATCCGACCGCCTCCAGCAGTCCCACCCCCAACGCCCCCAGATCCACGTCAAGCGGGAGGAGCTGGTGGCCAACTGGGAGCAGATTCGCACCCGGGCCGCCGAGAGGCACGCCCACCTCAACGACTCCTACCGGTGAGGGGGCGGCCCGTTTTCTACACTCCTTTTCCGACTTGGCAGAAATCTTTTTTTCTTTTAATTAATTATTTCTTAATTTTTTTTTAAATTTTTTATTATTTTTTTAATTTAATTTAAATTTAATTTAATTTAATTAATTTTTTGTTTTTTGTTTTTTTAATTTAATTTCAATTTTTTATTTTATTTAATTATTTTATTTTATTTTATTTTTAAGTTTATTTGAATTAAATTTAATTAAATTAAACTTTTAATTTTTTTTTAATTTTTATTTTTTTAAATTTAATTTAAATTTAATTTAATTTAATTAATTTTTATTATTTTTAATTTTTATTTTATTTTATTTTTAAGTTTATTTAATTTTTTATTTAATTTAATTTAATTTTTAAGTTTATTTGAATTAAATTTAATTAAATTAATTTTTTATTTTTTTAATTTTTAATTTTTTTAAATTTTTTTATTTTATTTATTTTATTAATTTTATTTAATTTAATTTTTTAAGTTTATTTGAATTAAATTTAATTAAATTAATTTTTTTATTTTTAATTTTTAAAATTTAATTTAAATTAAATTTAATTAATTTTTAATTTTATTTAATTTTTTTATTTTATTTAATTTTTTATTTAATTTAATTTAATTTTTAAGTTTATTTGAATGAAATTTAATTAAATTAATTTTTTAATTTTTTTTATTTTTAATTTTTTTAATTTAATTTTAATTTAATTTAATTTAATCAAAAAAAATTTGATTAATTTAATTAATTAATTCACGTTTCTTACTTTGGTTTCTTTCCTTTTATCAATGAACCTCGTTTGTTTTTATTCATGAATTCTATTACTTTAGTGACTTTAATTAATTTATTTGGATTGCTTTGGTTTCTTTCCTTTTACCCCTGTTTTTTTTATTATTATTATTATTACTATTATTACTATTATTATTATTATTATTATTATTATTATTATTCTAACCCCAATCTTGGCCCAAAATTTCCCCAAATGCTGTGATTTGGCCAATTTATTATTATTATTATTGTTACTATTATTATTACTTACTATTATTATTATATTATACACTTCCTGTTCTTATTACTTTTATTATTATTATTATTATATGCACTTCCTCTTCTTCTTCTTCTAATTATTATTAAATTATATTTCCCCCCAAAATTTGCCCCCTACTGAGAAGACTGCCGCTTAAATCTATTATTATTATTATTATTATTATTATTATTATTATTTACACTTCCTATTATTATTATATTATACACTTCCTGATCTTATTACTTTTATTATTATTATTATTATTTACACTTCCTCTTCTTATAATTATTATTAAATTATATTTTCCCCCCAAAATTTGCCCCCTACTGAGACCGCCGCTTAAATTTTTTATTATTATTATTATTATTATTATTATTATTATTATTATTATACACTTCCTGTTATTATTACTTTTATTATTATTATTATATACACTTCTTCTTCTTATAATTATTATTAAATTATATTTCTCCCGAAAATTTGCCCCTTACTGAGAAGACCGTCGCTTAAATTTATTATTATTATATTATATCATATATTCTATTATAATTATTTATTATTATTATTATTATTATCAAATTATTCTATTTTCTCCCGAAAATTTGCCCCTTACTGAGAAGACCGCCGCTTAAATTTATTATTATTATTATTATTATTATTATTATTATTATACACTTCCTGTTATTATTATTATTATTATTATTATTATTATTATATACACTTATTCTTCTTCTTATTATTATTAAATTACATTTCTCCCGAAAATTTGCCCCTTACTGAGAAGACTGCCGCTAAATTTATTATTATTATATTATATCATATCATATTATATTATAATTTTTATTATTATTATTATTATTATTATTTTTATTATTAAATTATTCTATTTCCCCAAAATTTGCCCCCAATTTTAGTTTCTTTAATTTTATTAATGAATCTGGTGGATATTTATTAATTCATCGAATTAATTTCATTAGTTTCTTTATTTTTGTTAATGAATCTGATGGATTTCTATTAATGAATGATTAATATTATTAATGAATGAAATTTATTCCTTTATTTAATTTTATTAATTGACTTTATTGATTTACTGATTTTTATCAATTTATTATTATTATTATTATTATTATTATTATTATTTAATTATTATTATTTAATTATTATTATTTAATTATTATTATTATTATTATTATTAATTATTAATTATTATTAAATAAATATATTTATCCCAAAATCTTCCCCCAAAAGCCTCCAGCGATTCCTGGCCGATTTCCGAGATCTCACCAGCTGGGTCACCGAAATGAAGGCTTTGATCAACGCTGACGAACTTGCTAACGATGTTGCCGGGGCGGAAGCCCTTCTTGACCGTCATCAGGAACACAAGGTTAATATTCTTTCGGCGTCAGCAAATCAATTTTATTAATTTCTACATGACATTGAATTTATTTTTATGCCTTCTTAAATGACGTTAAATTTCATTTTTATGCCTTTTTAGTGACGTTACATTTAATTTTTATGCCTTTTTAGTGACGTTAAATTTCATTTTTATGCCTTTTTAGTGACGTTAAATTTCATTTTTATGCCTTTTTAAATGACGTTAAATTTCATTTTTATGCATTTTTAGTGACGTTAAATTTCATTTTTATGCCTTTTTAGTGACGTTAAATTTCATTTTTATGCCTTTTTAAATGACGTTAAATTTCATTTTTATGCATTTTTAGTGACGTTAAATTTCATTTTTATGCCTTTTTAAATGACGTTAAATTTCATTTTTATGCCTTTTTACATTTATTAATTTTAATTTTTATGCCTTTTAAAATGGTATCTGTTACACTTAATTTTTAGGCCTTTTTAAATGACATTAATTTTAATTTTTAAGCATTTTTAGGCGACATTTCTTACATTTAATTTTAAATGACATTAATTAAATTTGTTTTTTATTTACATTACCTTTATTGAATTGAATTTCCCATTTATTTCATTGCTGTTGATTACCTGATTAATTTGATTAAATTTAATAAATCAATTTTTCCCCCATGGGAGAAATTGATGCCCACGAAGATAGTTTCAAGTCGGCCGGCCAGATCGGGCCAAGCCCTCCTTGCAGCCGGACATTATGCTTCTGCGGAAGTGAGAGAGAAGGTAAGGGTTAAATTATTAGGAAATTATTGGGAAATTATTAGGGAATTATTGGAAAATTATTAGGAAATTATTGGGAAATTATTGGGGAATTATTGGGAAATTGTTAGGGAATTATTAGGAAATTATTAGGGAATTGTTAGGAAATTATTTGGTAATTATTAGGGAATTATTCGGAAATTATTAGGTAATTAATAGGGAATTATTGGGAAATTATTTGGAAATTATTAGGGAATTATTCAGAAATTATTAGGGAATTGTTGGGAAATTATTAGGAAAATATTTGGAAATTATTTGGAAATTATTAGGGAATTATTCAGAAATTATTAGGGAATTAATAGGGAATTATTAGGAAATTATTGGGAAATGATTAGGGAATTATTGGGAAATTATTACGGAATTATTGGGAAATGATTAGGGAATTATTGGGAAATTATTAGGGAATTATTCGGAAATTATTATGGAATTATTGGGAAATTATTAGGGAATTATTGGGAAATTATTGGGAAATTATTATGGAATTATTGGGAAATGATTGAGAAATTATTGGGACATGATTGAGAAATGATTGGAAAATTATCTGGAAATTATTGGGGAATTGTTAGGCTAGGGGTTTGTGTTAGGGGTGGAGTAGGGGTTAGGGGTCACTTATTAGGGGTTATCAGTTTGTGTTAGGGTTAGAGGTCAGGCATTGGGGTTAGAGGTTAGGCGTTGGGTGGGGGTTAAAGTTAGAGGTCAGGCATTGGGGGTTAGGGGTTTGTGTTGGGTTAGAGGTTAGGCCTTAGGGTTGGGGGTTAGAGGTCAGGCATTGGGGGTTAGGGGTTTGTGTTAGGGTTAGAGGTCAGGCATTGGGGGTTAGGGGTTTGTGTTAGGGTTAGAGGTTAGGCCTTAGGGTTGGGGGTTAGAGGTCAGGCATTGGGGGTTAGGGGTTTGTGTTAGGGTTAGAGGTCAGGCATTGGGGGTTAGGGGTTTGTGTTAGGGTTAGAGGTTAGGCATTAGGGTTGGGGGTTAGGGTTAGAGGTAAAGGTTAGAGGTCAGGCATTGGGGTTTAGGGGTTTGTGTTAGGGTTAGAGGTTAGGCCTTAGGGTTGGGGGTCAGGCATTGGGGGTTAGGGGTTTGTGTTAGGGTTAGAGGTTAGGCATTAGGGTTGGGGGTTAGGGTTAGAGGTAAAGGTTAGAGGTCAGGCATTGGGGTTTAGGGGTTTGTGTTAGGGTTAGAGGTTAGGCCTTAGGGTTGGGGGTCAGGCATTGGGGGTTAGGGGTTTGTGTTAGGGTTAGAGGTTAGGCATTAGGGTTGGGGGTTAGAGGTCAGGCATTGGGGGTTAGGGGTTTGTGTTAGGGTTAGAGGTCAGGCATTGGGGGTTAGGGGTTTGTGTTAGGGTTAGAGGTTAGGCATTAGGGTTGGGGGTTAGAGGTCAGGCATTGGGGGTTAGGGGTTTGTGTTAGGGTTAGAGGTCAGGCATTGGGGGTTAGGGGTTTGTGTTAGGGTTAGAGGTTAGGCCTTAGGGTTAGGGTTAGAGGTTAGGCCTTAGGGTTGGGGGTTTGTGTTAGGGTTAGAGGTCGGGGTTAGGGGTTTGTGTTGGGTTAGAGGTTAGGCCTTAGGGTTGGGGGTTAGAGGTCAGGCATTGGGGGTTAGGGGTTTGTGTTGGGTTAGAGGTTAGGCCTTAGGGTTGGGGGTTAGAGGTCAGGCATTGGGGGTTAGGGGTTTGTGTTGGGTTAGAGATCAGGCCCTAGGCTTGGGGGTTAGAGGTCAGGCATTGGGGGTTGGGGGTTAGGGTTAGAGGTAAGGGTTAGAGGTCAGGCATTGGGGGTTAGGGGTTTGTGTTAGCGTTAGAGGTCAGGCATTGGGGGTTAGGGGTTAGGGTTAGAGATCAGGCTTTAGGCTTGGGGGTTAGAGGTCAGGCATTGGGGGTTGGGGGTTTGTGTTAGGGTTAGAGGTTAGGCCTTAGGGTTGGGGGTTAGGGTTAGAGGTCAGGCATTGGGGATCAGGGGTTTGTGTTAGGGTTAGAGGTTAGGCCTTAGGGTTGGGGGTTAGAGGTCAGGCATTGGGGGTTAGGGGTTTGTGTTAGGGTTGGAGGTCAGGCATTGGGGTTTGGGGGTTTGTGTTAGCGTTAGAGTTCAGGCATTGGGGGTTAGGGGTTAGGGTTAGAGATCAGGCTTTAGGCTTGGGGGTTAGAGGTCAGGCATTGGGGGTTGGGGGTTTGTGTTAGGGTTAGAGGTTAGGCATTAGGGTTGGGGGTTAGGGTTAGAGGTCAGGCATTGGGGGTTAGGGGTTTGTGTTAGGGTTAGAGGTTAGGCCTTAGGGTTGGGAGTTAGAGGTCAGGCATTGGGGGTTAGGGGTTTGTGTTAGGGTTAGAGGTCAGGCATTGGGGGTTAGGGGTTTGTGTTAGGGTTAGAGGTTAGGCCTTAGGGTTGGGGGTTAGAGGTCAGGCATTGGGGGTTAGGGGTTTGTGTTGGGTTAGAGGTTAGGCCTTAGGGTTGGGGGTTAGAGGTCAGGCATTGGGGGTTAGGGGTTTGTGTTGGGTTAGAGGTTAGGCCTTAGGGTTGGGGGTTAGAGGTCAGGCATTGGGGGTTAGGGGTTTGTGTTGGGTTAGAGGTTAGGCCTTAGGGTTGGGGGTCAGGCATTGGGGGTTAGGGGTTTGTGTTAGGGTTAGAGGTTAGGCATTAGGGTTGGGGGTTAGAGGTCAGGCATTGGGGGTTAGGGGTTTGTGTTAGGGTTAGAGGTCAGGCATTGGGGGTTAGGGGTTTGTGTTAGGGTTAGAGGTTAGGCATTAGGGTTGGGAGTTAGAGGTCAGGCATTGGGGGTTAGGGGTTTGTGTTAGGGTTAGAGGTCAGGCATTGGGGGTTAGGGGTTTGTGTTAGGGTTAGAGGTTAGGCCTTAGGGTTGGGAGTTAGAGGTCAGGCATTGGGGGTTAAGGGTTAGGGTTAGAGATCAGGCCCTAGGCTTGGGGGTTAGAGGTCAGGCATTGGGGGTTGGGGGTTAGGGTTAGAGATCAGGCCCTAGGCTTGGGGGTTAGAGGTTAGGCATTAGGGTTGGGGGTTAGGGTTAGAGGTAAGGGTTAGAGGTCAGGCATTGGGGGTTGGGGGTTAGGGTTAGTGTTAGAGGTCAGGCATTGGGGGTTAGGGTTAGAGATCAGGCCTTAGGCTTGGGGGTTAGAGGTCAGGCATTGGGGGTTAGGGGTTGTGTTAGGGTTAGAGGCTAGGCCTTAGGGTTGGGGGTTCAAGTTAGAGGTAAGGGTTAGAGGTCAGGCATTGGGGGTTAGGGGTTTGTGTTAGGGGTCAGGCATTGGGGGTTAGGGGTTTGGGTTAGGGTTAGAGGTTAGGCCTTAGGGTTGGGAGTTAGAGGTCAGGCATTGGGGGTTAAGGGTTAGGGTTAGAGATCAGGCCCTAGGCTTGGGGGTTAGAGGTCAGGCATTGGGGGTTGGGGGTTAGGGTTAGAGATCAGGCCCTAGGCTTGGGGGTTAGAGGTCAGGCATTGGGGGTTGGGGGTTAGGGTTAGAGGTAAGGGTTAGAGGTTAGGCCTTAGGGTTGGGGGTTAGGGTTAGTGTTAGAGGTCAGGCATTAGGGGTTAGGGTTAGAGATCAGGCCTTAGGCTTGGGGGTTAGAGGTCAGGCATTGGGGGTTAGGGGTTGTGTTAGGGTTAGAGGCTAGGCCTTAGGGTTGGGGGTTCAAGTTAGAGGTAAGGGTTAGAGGTCAGGCATTGGGGGTTAGGGGTTTGTGTTAGGGGTCAGGCATTGGGGGTTAGGGGTTTGGGTTAGGGTTAGAGGCTAGGCCTTAGGGTTGGGGGTTCGAGTTAGAGGTAACGGTTAGAGGTCAGGCATCAGGGGTTAGGGTTAGAGGGTTAGGCCTTAGGCTTGGGGGTTACTGGTAAGGGTTAGAGGTCAGGCATTGGGGGTTAGGGTTAGGGTTAGAGGTCAGGCATAAGAGTTTGGGTGGGGGTTAGAGGTCAGGGTTAGAGATCAGGCATTGGGGGTTAGGGTTAGAGGTCAGGCCTTAGGCTTGGGGGTTAGAGGTAAGGGTTAGAGGTCAGGCATTGGGGGTTAGGGGTTTGGGTTAGGGTTGGGGGTTAGGCCTTAGGGTTGGGGGTTAGAGGTCAGACATTAGAGGTTGGGGGTTAGAGGTAGAGGTAGAGGTAAGGGTTAGAGGTCAGGCATTGGGGGTTAGGGGTTTGTGTTAGGATTAGGGTTAGAGGCCCGGCATTGGGGTTGGAGTTAGGGGTCAGGGGTTGGTGTTAGGGTTAGAGGTTAGGCCTTAGGGTTGGGGGTTTGAGTTAGAGGTCAGGCAT